AAGAGTGGTGAGAGCAGCTATTCTTGCCTTCTTCTTGATCTTAGGAAGATAGCATTCAGTTTCTCACCATTAAGTATGAAGTTAGCTATAGTATTTTTATAGATGTTCTATATCAAGTTGAGAAAGTTCTCCCTCTATTCTTAGTTTGCTCAGTTTTTTTAAAAATCATAAATGGTATTATATTGTGTCAAGTATTTTTCTGAATCTAGTGACATAATCGTGTAATATTTCTTTTTTAACCTGTTGATATGATTATATTAATTGATTTTTGAATGCTAAACTAGTCTTGTATACCTTAAATAAATCACACTTGGTGTTGGTGTATAATTCCTTTTATACATTATTGGAGTCAATTTACCAGTATTTTGTTGAAAATTTTTGCATCTATGTTTTTGGGAGATATTGGTCTGTAGTTTTCCTTTTTTATAATTTATCTATCTGGTTTTAGTATTACAGTAATACTGATCTCATATAATTAGTTAGAAAGTAGTCTCTTTGCTTCTATTTTTCTGGAAGAGATTGTAAAGATTTGGTATAATTGCTTCCTTAAATGTTTGGTAGAATTCACCAGTGAACCCATCTGGGCCTGGGGCTTTCTGTTTTCGCAGGTCATTAATTATTGATTTAATTTCCTTTACAGATATAGGTCTGTTCAGTAGTCTATTTTTCCCTCAGTAAGTTTTGGTAGATTGTGTCTTTCATGGAGTTGATCCATTTCATCTAGGTGTTGAATTTGTGGGCATAGAGTTGTTGATAATCTGTTACTATACTTTTAATGTCCATGGGATCAGTAGTGATAGTCCCTCTTTCGTTTCTGATATTAGTAATTTGTGTCTTCTCCCTTTTTTCCTCAGTTAATCTAGCTAGAGGTTTATTGATTTTATCAATCTTTTCAAAGTTTTGGTTTTGTTAATTTTCTCTATTGATTTCCTAGTTTGAATTTAATTGGTTTCCACCCTAGTTTTTATTATTTATTTATTTTTCAGCTTACTTTGGGTTTAATTTATTTCTTTTTCTAGTTTCTTACTATAGAAGCTTAGATTATCAATTTTTAGATGTTTTTTTCCTCTAACATATGCATTCAATGATATAAAATTCCCTCTAAGCACTGTTGTTACTGTATCCCACAAATCTTGATAAGTTGTATTTTCATCTTCACTTAGTTCAAAATATTTCTAAGTTTCTCTTGAGATTTATTCTTTAATTAATGTGTTATTTGGAAGTGTGTTGTTTAACATCTAAATATTTCAGTGATTTTCCAGCTATCTTTTATTGATTTTTTTAATTTAATTTGATTGTGGTCTGAGGACATACTTTGCATGATTTCTATTTTTCAAATATCTATTAAGGTGTGCCTTATGGCTCAGAATGTGGTCTATCTTGGTGAATGTTCCAGATGTGTTTGAGAAGAAATATATTCTGTTATTGTTAGACGAAATATTTTATAAATGTCAACAATTAGATACAGTTGATTGACAGTGCTATTCCAGTCAACTGTATCTTTATTTATCTTCTGCTTACTTGATCTCTCAATTTCTTGAAAGAAGGTATCAAAATCTCCAACCATAAGAGTTTATCTGTGCCCTGGCCAGTGTGAATCAGTTGGTTGAGCATCATTCCATGCACTGAAAGGTTGCCAGTTCAATTTCTGGTGAGGACACATACCAGGTTGTGGGTTCAATCCCTAGTCAGGATGCATATGGAAAGCAATTGGTTGATGTTTCTCTCTCACATCGATGTTTCTCTCTCTCTCTCTGTCTCTCTCTCCCCCTCTCCCTTCCTTTGTCTCTAAAATCAATAATAATAATAAAAAAAGAGTGGGTTTGTCTATCCTTTCAGTTCCAACAATTTTTGTCTCACATATTTTGACACCCTGTTGCTAGGTACATACATGTTTAGGATGGTTATGACTTCTTAAGACATAAATATAGTCTACCTAGCAAGTCAAGAGTAATTGTATAAGATTAATCCAAGATTTTAAAAAAATAAAATATAAGATTATCTTTCATTTACAACCTTAAAACATTGTGCACGGTTTCATCAACTGTATTCTATGAATATAAAAAGAAAAGAAAAGATGTACCACTAAGTCAACTGATCCTAAGTTCTATGTGAAAAATTTCTTGTGAAAAACTTGGAAAGGAGGGAGAATGTCCCTATTATGATATACAATGTTCAGACAAATTATACTGATAGGATAGAGACTAGTTCTATCATGATGCTCACTCTACAAATAAAGGTATCTTTATTAAATAAAATATTAATTTAAAATTCAGGTGACAGGTGTACATGATTCATTTATTTTAAAGGTACAGTAAGTCCTCACTTAATGTTGTCAATAGGTTCTTGGAAACTATGACTTTAAGCAAAATGACATGCAATAAAACTAATTTTACCGCAGGCTATTTGATACAAACAAGAGTTAATATCCTACACTACATTTCTGGTCACAAAATCATCACCAGTCTTCTAAATAAAGTTATAGTTGGAGATTCAAACATTACTCTCTTAGCAACAGAACAACCAGACAGAAAAACCAGCAAAGATATAGAAGAACTCAAAAGCACCATAAACCAAAATGATACAACTGACATTTATAGAACATTCTGCAACAAGAGTTGAATATAGATTCTAAGTTATCACAAAAATTGCAGGGAAACACAAAGATCAGGGCCAATTCTAAAATTCTGTTTTATGTATTAATCAATAGGGCTGTGCACGTATAACCTGAAAAACCATAGCCAGGCACCTTATTCAATCTTAGAAAATGTAGCTTAGACAGCCCTGCAATTAGAGGAATTTGAGAGTACCACATGCTGTCTATCAAGATATCAACAATGTGACATTTATTCATTTCACACAATGCTGATTGCGTTTCTCTAGAACACTATTTAATTTTCAATGGCCTTTTCAACTCTTGTTGTTAAAATAAAAGAACATCTTTTGGGTACTACTACTCTTTCCTTAATACTTTGTCAATTCTTACTGCTGTAAGAAGGCCTTTAGAAAGAAGGGCCTTTGTGGGCAGCTCCAGTAGATGAGAAAATAAATGGGTGAGAGAGGCTGAGGCTGGAATAAAACAAGAAGCTACTAAAGACAAGGGGTCACTCAATCACAATAGATTGAGAGAATATACTATGGCTATTTGAAACCACTATTCCTATGTACAAAATTCCAAAGGGCATCTTATAGTTTCTGCCACAAAATTACTGTATTGTGTAACAATATAGTTTTAAATGATGGTCGGAGAATGAAAGCACAAACAAGGGTACAGTCATTCTGAAAAACAGTACCATTTTATATTCCCACCAGCAATATATGAGTGATTTACTTCCTCTGCATCCTCACCAACATTTAGTATTGCCATTTACATTTTTTAGCCATTGCCCTGGCTGGTTTTGCTCAGTGGTTAGAGTATCCGACCTCAGACCAGAGTTGCAGGTTCGATTCCAGTCAAGGTCAGGTACCTGTGTTCTGATTTGATCCCTGGCCCTGGTTGGGGTCCTGCAGGAGGCAACCAAACTGTGTCTCTCTCACATCTCTCTCTCTCTCTCTCTCTCTCTCTCTCTCAGTCCCTCCCTCCCTCCCACTCTATCTGAAAATCAATGGAAAAACATCCTTGGGTGAGGATTAAAAAAAAAAAATTTTTTTTTAGCCGCTTTGATAGGTGTATTATATATTCTAGATACTATAAAGAAACTTGAGATTTGTGGGGAACCTTTGAATTAAAAAATTAGGGCAGTTTAGGCTTATCTGGAAGTCTGTGTTCAGAGTGCAAAGTGAGGGACCCATCTATTTTGGAGGAATTAGTTGAACAAAACAGGAAAGCAGTTAAGTTGGGTTTGGAATGGGTGTGAGCAGAACAGTATGAAATGGGATTGTGGGAGAACCCTGTTCTACAGTAACTAAGAAATATTAGAGTGTGTGTTCTTGTCACTGACTCAAAAGTAAAAGAAGCTCAAGGTAGGATCAAAACTGGAGTAAGGGTGCCAAACAAAAAGACTGGGGAGAAGTTCTGATTAGAAACTTGCTCCAGCACGAGAAAATTATTTTCCCTTAAGTCTAAGTCCTAAGTTTGATTCCAAAGGCATCAGCTATCCAAATACAGAATGGAGAACTATCTTGACAATAGTTGCATCCTCCCCTATCCCTTCCTCTGCCCCAGCCTCTAATCTAGCACAGGGAAGCCCGGTGCAAAGCTGAAGGCGTGCACACAATCTTAAATCGTAAATACATGCTTGAGCTGCTTTAACAATAGTGTTCAGGTCGGAGAAAGCGCGCCCCTGTGTCCTCTAAGTCAAGCCTCACCTGCACAAAGGGGCGCAGTGTGAGGCTCTGTACTCAAGAAGAATGTGACAATCCATCTTGATACACACGGGGTGGATACTCTCCACGAGGAACTGGAAACCGAGTCCACGTGGAGGCAGTCACGGGAAGAGGGAGTCTGGTTCGGAGAGTAGTGAACGCAGGAAGGAAGGACGTCTCCTGCGAGAGAGGTTGAGCGAGAAGGGCCCGGCAGGGTCTGGCCCAGGCCTCGCTAGCGGAGGGAACGCGAGCGGGAGGCGCGGCAGGCGCGGCGGCAGCACCGGAAGTGCACCGTCGAAAGCGGTCCCGGAGGCGCGACGCCCACAGGCCCGCGCGCGTTCCACGGGCGCCCGGAGCAAGGCTGTCGTCCGCGCCGCGGTGACGAGCTGTGACGCCTTAGTGGTTGCCCGGGTGCGGCGCGGGGGTTGGGAAGCCCGCGGCTCTTCCTTCGACGCCCTTCTGGTCCAGAGCCAGCGGCTGCGACTGAGCCTTGGGCGGCCGTCGGGCCTAGAACCATGAGGCCCGGGGGAGCGGGCTGCTCCGCCGGGCTGCTGCTGGCTGTCGGTTGGTTGTTCCTAGCGGGCCTCCAGCCCGCTTGCGGGACGAACGCCACCGGCGTCCAGGATCGCGGCTTGTCTGGCCCCGAAACTGAAGGCGAAGGCGAGGGCGAGGGCGAGGGCGAGAGCGAGAGCGAGGGCGAGAGCGAGAGCGAGAACCAGAATGAGAACCAGAGCGTGGCTGAGGAGGAGGCCGAGAACTACCCCGAGTCTGAGAACACGTCCCAGCATGAGGACGACGAGGATGGTGAGGGTGGGGGGCCCTGGGTAGGGACCGAGGAGCCCGTGGAGGGCAAAGCCCAGCTCTGTCCGAGGACAGTGAGAATTAGAGCATTACGCGTTCACTTATGTAGAACTCTTTGGTAAACAGGCACGAATTTATACATTTTTCGTTCACGTAGTGGCCTTGAAGAAAGATATGTTCATTTTCCAAGGCCGTGGCAAGCTGACCGAGCCCACAAAAAGATGCTACAGAAATACTGCTAAAAAGACGCTTTATTGTTTAAGTGGCAGGAATCGGGAGTAGCCTGCCACCGAAATTGGAATTATTTTGACCCTCTTTGCAGTTATGTTTTTCCTTCCTGTTGTAGTACTTTTTTGGTTTGTTTTTTTGAAGTTCTAAATTGCTTGAGGTCTTCTTTCCTATTTGCACTATGTCTTGGAACAAAATGGAATTCAGAATTCCCCTCATTGTGACACATTTAGATAGATCGATATGCTGACAGAACTGCCCAGAAGCCCTGCAATAGCTTCTTGCAGCCCCAACCTTGAGCACCTCTGCAGCGTGGTGGTGTTTTATTTCCATGTTCAACTAAGAACCACAAAGGAACAGTGGCCTTAGAAAACGCCTATCAAGTGATCCAGCTAGTGCCTTTGTTAGATAACATGCTAACCAAGGGAGAATGAGCTTGTGCTTGGTACATATTTACCTTATTCTGCTGGCTCATTAAGCAGTAAAACTTGACAAGCTGTTGTACATGTTATATTGATTAGTAACTCACAGGCTGGTTGGTAAAAGGTCAGATGCAGGTTTGCAGCCATCTAAAAGAGAATGATTCCCCTACCTCATAAATGACCCGGCTGAGATTCTCATGTCTCCTGTACATATGGAGTAGATACTATATTTATCAGCTTTTCTTTCATTTCATGATGACAGATAGTGAACCTCAGTGACAGAAAGAAATTGACTATCTGAGGTTAATGGTGGGATCGAGGTTTGTTACTGCCTCAACATTACATTACAGAGAGCTTGGAGAGGTCCTTGACTTTGGAAATGTGAAAAAGAAAAAGGACTGGAAAACAGAGAAACATGTTCTAAAGCATAGTAGCTATTGTTTCACTTTAGTTTTAACGGTAATTGAATTAACAATTTTAGTATTAACCTGGTCAAAGGATATTTCTAGGTTTAAAATGCTAAATGGAGTTTAGGGTAAACCTAGGTGATGGAGTTATAATGCCTTAGATTCAAATTCAAATGCAAGAAAGTTATTTATTGTTTTAGTGTCTCCATTTCTTTACCTGTGACCTTCAGGAAGTCCGTGTACCTTCTGGAATTTTATATATACAATTTCATGTGTAGCTGCTTTTCCTTGGGGAAATTGAGAATCCAGAACTTTAAACAATCTGAGGTGTCTGAGATCTGGATATTTCCAGAACCATTATTACAATTTGGCAAAGTCCCTCTTAACCCTCAGTGGACAGTGTAAAAATACTCAACACCATTTATGTTCCAGTGGCCATTTAATTTTTAATTTTTTTACTTTTAAAGTATTTTACAAATAATTTCAAAAGTAAGAACAAAAGGACACTAAAAACAACTTATTTGGAATTTTAGTAAGAATTTAAATATGGCAAATACCAAATTTTTATTCCATTTTTCCTGGTTTTGAAGATGTATAGATAAAGCACTTTGAGTGCAATTAAAAGCTCATTGGTTGTTATGCATGAATCTGGAATATATCCATCTTACAAATACTGATTCTAGATTTCAAGTACATTTTGTAATAGATTCTAGTTAACTTTATTCTTGTTCTTTTTGCACTTGCATTGTTAAAACAATACTTTTGAAAACTATGAAGGCACATTTTGTTGAAGAGAAGACTGCCATATTCTCTCTCCATATTTGCAAAACCATTTTCATCTTAGATTTATAGACAATTTAGAATTATTAGTCCAATGAATTTATTCATTTCTACATCTATTTTATTTCAGTCACCTTTGTATACACACCTGCCATTGATTTGGTGTTTACAAACCTTATTAAATAAATTTTGTGTATAAACATCTTTAAAAAGGAAAGAATACTGTCTGTATGTATCCTTTTAGCAAAACAGTATGGTCCAACTCATTTTTACAAAATATTTCAGGATCAAGTTCTTCCTGTTGGAAGGACTAACTGGATGAGAATGCCACATATCCTTTTCACTCTTAGAAATATAATGTTCATTCATTGATTCTTGAGTTAGAGATAATTAATCTAGGATATTTATCTAAGATACTATATCTAATTTTGCTTATGCAACCAATTTTACCATCATCATTAGCACCCAAAGTGCTGCTCTCTGTTTCTCTATGTTCATCTTCTGATTCATCTAATAATTGTGAAATGTTTTTCACTGTCAATTTTCTTCTCTTTGCCATTATGGACAAAAAGAAATAAAAGAAAAATTCTAAAATCTCAGTTGTGTTCAATGAAAGCTGAAAATAGACTATAAGAAAGGTGCCTTTAAACTTCTTTTGTATCTTCCTGATAGATGATGTGCTACTTTGGTCAAAGCAATAAGAAAACAAAGGATGATGTAATAGCTGTGATTTATTCACAGTTATGTCATCTTTCTAGGCAATTCTAACCATTCTTCCATTTTATTATTATAGTCTTTTAAAAAAACATAGGAATAATTGATAAGTAATGCTGAAATCTATCATTATGGATGATGAAATGACAAAATGTTTCAAAATATAGGAAAAATCACTAAGATAATATATATATATATATATATATATATATATATAATCCTTTTATACCCCTATCCCTATGCCTTTTATATACCCTTATATGCTTTATAAATATAAGATTTATAAATTTACTCTTAACCTATTTATCTTTAAATTTATAAAAAGAACCAACAATAGACATACATAATAATTATAATATAGAATGAGTTCTATAAAATTAAGTTTATTCTATATAAACATAAGTATATAGTATTTTCTCTTTTTCCTTATAAGACCTCTAAGAAAGAATAAAAATAATGAAAAATTAACCTGTAAATCAACTTTCAAAAAAGAAACAAAATTAGTATTAGACTTTGATGGTATATACCAACAGTTAACGTATCCTGTCCAAACTTAACGAGAACATTCCAGGATCTGGTCAGAACAAAAAAGAGCAGGATCATTATCTTCATCATTGTGGATGCCAAGCTTTTATCAGCATAGTCTAAGACCCAGTAGATTTTTAGGGAAGCCTCATTATACTCTTAACTCCTATTAAACTCACTATTGAACTCTCATTTTCATTTGTTCTTCTAAAAAATTAAGATAGCTTATGAAGTATTTTGGGGACAGCTGACTTTTCAGCTTACCTACAGGACTTTATTTCTCCAAGATTTCATTTGGTTAGATTTGTTAGATTCTACCCTGTTATTATTAGGTCAAGATTTATCTTCTAACATATTCACTATCCTTCCTAGTTTTGCAGAATCCTCGGATTCAGTCATCATGAAGTCACTATTATCCAAGTCATTAATAAAAATGTTGAACAGTACAGAGTCCTGTGACATATGACTCCTACCACATTGACATCAACCAATTAATTAGCATCAGTGTATCTTACTGTTTAAGAAGTCATACATAAAATTTACTGACATGCAGACCATATTTTTTCTTTTTACTCATAGGTATATAATGGGAAATTTTGACAAATGACTACACTGAAGTCCAGATACATGTAATCTCCCTGACCCACCATTGTAGGCTCCCCATCAAAAAAGAAAGTCAGTGAATGACTCAATACTTAAAGCTGAAAGTAATTTTGGAGACAATCTGATTAAATCTTATATTTTTAAACTTAGGAGAACTTAAGTAACTTTCCCAAAGTAGCATAGGTAGTGAGTAGTAGAGCTGATTAAGTGGTTTTTTTTTTAATCTTTTTGAAAAGAGGGTATATTTAAAAGTAATCTAGTATTCATTCTTCTACCTGTGTTTTCTATGATCAAGATTTGACTTTTAATTTATATCTCATAATGTGCCAGCAGAAAGTATCCAAGCAAAGATGTCAATTGAAAATTGATCATGATAGTAAAAATAGTTTATTTAACAAAGCCAATATTTACATATAAATATCTAGTGCTTACTATATATTCAAGATAATTTTTGTGCATATAAGCATATAATAATGAAAGTTTATAAAAATATTGTTTTGCATTAATATAGAAAAAACCCTTAGAATTATATGAAATCAATTAAGTACAAAGTGAGTGTGAATGATGTTATTCTTAAGTTTTTTCTTAAAATGCTTATTCTTAAGCATTTTAATAGCCGAATCCTTTCACACACATTTCCTCATTTAATTCTCACAATAATCGAATGAAACAGGTTCTCCTTTTAAAATTTTACAGAAAGGTTAACTAGGCCTGACAGAGTTTAAGTAATTTACTCAAACTCAAAGCAGCTAATTAGAGGTAGAAGCAGCAATTTGGCTCCAGCTCTAATGCATTTTCCCAAGTAACATTGTTGCCTCAGGATAATTTTTAATGCCTTTTAAAAATTATCTTCTAACACCTAATTTAATATTTTTTTATTTAAGATTTTAGTCCTAGTCTGAGCTATGAAGAATTGGCTATATATTACAGCTAGCGGGATTCATGCCAAACTTCAGAATGATGAGAGAAAAGAAGCACTGTATTATGTGATTTGAAACCAATACTATTTACTCAAATACTTGTGTCTTTCTAGATTGTCCTGCTAATAAAGTGTTGAAGTAACGTCTTAGGCATAGTAAAATCTAATACAGTATATATATATATATATATATATATATATATATATATATATATTTTTTTTTTTTTTTTAAATCCTTACCCAAGGATATTTTTCCATTGATTTTTTCAGATAGAGTGGGAGGGAAAGAGAAAGAGAAACATCAATGTGAGAGAGACACATCGACTGGTTGCCTCCCATATAACCCTGACCGCGGCCAGGAATTGAACTGAGGTACATGCCCTTGACCCGAATAGAACCCACGACTCTCTGGTCTGAGGGCTGACGCTCTAACTGCTGAGCCAAACTGGCCAGGGCAACACATGATTTTAATGAACTCTTGGTATATAGACCTCTGTTTTGGATGAAAATGATACACTCAAAATTGTTCGGAAAAATAGAGAATTGAAAAAAAATAAAAAGTCTTATGATTGGCTGGCTTTTTGTGTTTTTCTAACCTATGGAACTTTAAACTCATCATGTATTAAACTAATGAAAAACAACGTTTTAATTTATATACAAAGTTTAAGTATAAACTTTCCTTGCAAATTATTTCTTAATTTATTACTTTAAAGGGTTAGGCTTCTTTTGATTTAAACAATAATAGATGTACTAGGAATAGTATTGCTTTTCTGATTTAATAAAACTTTAAACATGTCTGCTTCCTATATGGTAAGTACTTGTATCTCCATCCCCAAGTAAGAACTTTTTACTTAGAAAAGTTTTCATGCGATTAAATAATCTGTCTTTGCATTTTATGTTTAGTTTCAAATATGAAAGTAGTCAGAGAAGTAGAATATGGGATGTGCACCGTTACATGTGGTAAGTAGCATAGAGCACATAAACAATGTTGTAATTTAGGGGGAGAAAGGTAAAAACAGTGTGGCAATTTTTATTTGTAATCTGTGTACTCTCATTGATTTCTTTTTCTAATGACTATAATTCACAAACAAAACACAAACCGATTGCTTTAAAAGGTTGGATATATCAGTTTATAACCTCTAAGTCTTATTTTAAGCAAGCTCCCTATATTTTTTTGTACATACAGTCTTCACCAAAGTAAAACTTCCTCTATCTCACAGATATTCAGAACATGAAAAATCTTGTGATGCATCTCACAGATGTCTTCCCACATACTGTGTTGGCAAATCTACCAATAAATTTGCTTATTTGTAATAGTATATTCTAAATTCTACATTTCTCCAATTTAGATGCCATATCTTAAAGAAGAGAGATATTGGCTTTGTGGGGAAGATAATATTCAAGGATTGTGACTTACTTTGATCATTCCATATATAGAAATTGGACATTAAATCTTTTACATGAGATGGGATTAAAATAATACATGCTCTATAACAGACCTGTATTTCCCAAACTTAACTGTTCACCCTATGTTCCTGAAGGACTTGTTAAAACACAGATTGCTGGGCCTACCCAAGAGATTCTAACTCACTAGACCTTCAGAGGGCCCTAAAATTTTATTTCTTTTTTTAAAATATGTTTGTATTTTTTTTCTTTTTAGGGAGAGAGAGAGAGAGAAACATCAATGTGAGGGAGAAACATCCATTGGCTACCTCCTGCATGCTCTCTACTGGGAATTGAACCTGCAACCTGGGGCATGTGCCCTGATCGGTGATTGAACCGGGACCTTTCAGTCCATGGGACAATCAACGCTCAATCCATTGAGCCACACTGGATGGGCAAGAATTTATACTTCTAAACAGTTCACCAGTGAAGCTGATGCTCCTGGTTAGAAGACGATCTTTTCAGAACCACTATAGAGTAGCGTGCTGAGAAGATAATAGATAATTCACAATGAAATTAAGTTTATTTTAAATAGAATCTGCCTTTGAAATAAAAATACAGTGATGAGAGGGAAGGACAAAAAACAGAGGGTTAGAAAAGAGAAAAACTATGCAGATCTAGATAGAACAATTTTTTTTTTGGTCAAAAATTATACCTGAATTGTTTTTATTTGAGGTAGATTTTGTGTGTGGTGAAATATACCTAACATAAAATTTACTATTTTAACCATTTTTAAATATACAAGTCAGTGACAATAAGCACATTTACATTATTGTGCAACCATTACCACCATACATTTCCAGGATTTTTTCATCATCTCAAACTGAATCCTCCGCACATTAAACACATTCCCTACTTCCCCTTCCCCACAGCCTCTGGCAATCACTGTTCCATTTTCTGTCTCAAGATAGTTTTTAGCCTGTTTTTTTTTTTTATTTTTTATTTTTGTACCTTAATGAATAAAAGTCAGAAAATGAGAAGAATCCATGTAATAAACCTGTGATTACTCATTTGCAATTTATGTCTTTCTTCTGTTGCTTACTTGAGACATTTTCATAGAGAATTATATTTATGACCATTCTAGTACTTGATTATTGTCTTACTCTATTATTTAAAAATTTGTTTCAGAAATTTGATGTCATATTTGTTTATTCAACAAGTGATTTTCTGTTTTGGAACTTTTAGAAAGGTTTTTTTCTACCTTGTGCTAGGCATTGGGAACAAAGTGGTGCACAAAGCAGAGAAAACTGCCTTCAAGGAGTGTATGGTTTAGTTGGGTAGAGAGATAAATAAAAGTAAAATATGTAATATGTCTGATGGTGATAAATTCTAAGGACAAAAACTAAAACAGACAATATTTCACATTTAAAATATATTTTAAATATTCAAAAGTCTTTTTAACTTATAACAATGATTTAAAATATATTTTAAATATTCAAAAGTCTTTTAACTTATAACAATGATTTAGAGGGGAAAAAATGCTTTAGTGAAAATTCTATTGAACTCCTAAAACAATATTTTAGCAGTCAATTTTTTTTCCTTTTTTTGGAATTCACAGGCAGAGGTATTTTTTTTCCCTTGTTAATCCTCACCCAAGGATATTTTTTCCATTGATTTTTAGAGAGTGGAAGGGAGGGAGGGAGGGAGGGGGAGAGAGAGAGAGAGAGAGAGAGAGAGAAACATCTATGTGAGAGAGACACATATTGGTTGCCTTCTGCACACCCCAACTGGGGTGGGGATGGACACTGCCACCCAGGCATGTGCCCTTGACCAGGAATCAAACCTGATTTGGGTGAGTAGGCTGACACTCTAACCTAAGCCACACTGGCCAGGGACACAGGCAGATTTTTAGGTGTTACTTGGACTTACAGAAAATTTCACCTATACACATCATCACAGTGAACTATATTTGGCTAAATAAATAAATACATAAAACAACTGCTTGAAAAATTTTTATGCACTTCAGAATAAGGGTGTGCTTCTAGAGAGGGACCTTTTATAAATGCACGTGGAACCACACTGTACCCATTCTTAGGCATCTCTTTTAATCAAAAGAGACCTTTCCTCTTCCAACCTTCCATTTCCTTATCTCAAGTGGAGTCCTCTCCTTTGTTACTCAATCTTTGGTCCAGAGACCAGCCACATAGCCTGGGAGCTTGTTAGAAAGTCCGAGTTTCAGAACCTACTGAATCAGACTTCGTGTTAGTAAGATCTCCAGGTGATCTGCATGCTCACTGAACTTTGAGAAGTGCTATTGTAAGCCATCTTTAGATTTCAAATTCCCCTTGCCCTTGAGAATGGATTTTATGATTAACATCTAATAGGGGTTGAAAGAGAGAATCTAGTAAGGGAAATCAAAATGGATAGTTCCTTAACCTGTGACTATACAGTCTTTTTATAAGTCATGTTGACTTAAGCAACAGCCAAGCCTGTAGAGAATTTTTATGAGGTTGACCAAATTGACTACAATTGCCAGGAAGCAAAATCTCAACAGATTGAGAAAATGCTCCGGAGAATGCCAGTTTTGCAGCTTATCTTGGAATAAAAGGAAGAGACTTCAGGAGGATACATGAAACCCATTGATGGTAGATTAAGGGGTCAGGAGAAAGCAAACCAGGGAAATCTTTGGGACTGGATAGAAGGCAACATAGTGAAACACGTACTTCTTTTACTTTGGTGAGTGCAGGATAGTAATTAACTACAGAGATGGTATGTGGGGAACAAGATAACAATGAGGGTTCTGTGGTCTTGTGCTCTCATGCCTGTGCTTGTGGCTTGAGGGATCTGGAAAAGAAGATTACTCTGAGGTTTCAAAGATAGGCTATCTTAGACGCAAAAAGATAATAGGCTCACTTAAGGTAAAGATTGACCTTTGTCAAGGAAGCTACAGGTCTAGGGTGTCACTACCCACCATGACTTGCTTTTAGTTAGTATTTTTTATGTTCAGACTATCCTATGTGGTTACTTGAGTTCATAAGGCCCACCATACAGGCCCCCTTGTGCTTGTCAGTTTGGTATGTGACCCCTTTTCTGTCCATAGTTATTTATCACAGGACATGTTCAGTATGTTGCTGAGCCAGCATTTTTTCATCTCCCTCAATTCTGGTGATGAAAGACAAATTCTAGGGATTTGAGATAGTAAAGGCTTGATTTCTTGTTATAAAAATGTGTGGCGATTCTAGAGAGAATTATCTTGTTGGAAATAGAGATTTGATCATTAATAATTTGTCTTGCTATATTTATTACCAATCATAATATTAATAAGCTTCATTCATGTTCAAATGTGATTTTGGAATTTTCTCCAAAGAAGTTCCAAGTTCCCCTACCCCTCCTAGAAGTTCCGTGGTCAAATAAATTTGGGGTTCCTGTATACTACTGTATTTCATTAAATCTAACACTTTATTGGCTGTAAGAAGCACAATTAGACACCTCCAAAAAGGAAATGCTGCCAATTTGTGACATGCTGCCAATTCTAAGATACACTCTGATTTCAAAAATGTTAAAATGTAAAAATTGTACATGTTAGATCAATGAAAGTTTATACAGAGTAGCATGTTAATTTGTTAGCATTTTAAAAGCTTCCCCAAAATTCTGTAGTAAAGAGATCCCTTTAATTTTATTTACTATATTATTTCAAATATGTATAATCATCAAATTCTTTTTCTAATGGTAACAACCACAAGGACAAGTGTTACATGTAACTCACTTTGGGAAATGCTGTTTTATAAAATAATTCAAAATGAGGGGTCTAAAATATTCTAAATATTATAAACCTGAATTTTGGAATTTAATTTCTAAAATTAGAAGAGGAGTCTCCAAAAAAACTGAGATGGTAAAGAAAAAAATTCTATGAAATTTGTTTTCCTAACATTTGCGATTTCTTTTACCAAAGGTGTTGGTATTAGAGAAGTTATATTAACAAAGGGATGCCCTGGAAGTGAATCCAAGTGCGTTGTACGGGTAGAAGAATGCCGTGGACCTGTAGACTGTGGCTGTGAGTTGGACTCTGTTGGAGGGAGACTGAGTGGGAAATAGTTTACTCTGGGGAAATATCCTTAACTTCAGCTTGTCATGTGTGGAATTGATATACTGAAAGGAAATCACAAGAAAACTTAAAATTCCACTTCTCTAGATGTTATAGCTCTGAATAACTTTCTGCTTTTGCTTTATATTTTCAGTGCTGTCTAAAATTTAACATATATTCTCTGCAATATACTGTAACCTTATTGTACTCACAATCTGTGTTCAATGTTGTCCTATAGTGAAATACTTTTGATACTTTGATCATGACATTTTATCAGTAGATTGGTACACCCTAAATTTTAAGTGATGTTTTATATCAAATTACACTACACTGAGATTTCATTATCTCTAATGGGGGTCCCTAACTAGTAAATTGGAATCCACTAGTAGATTCAAAGTATATTAGATCACTGAGTTGGTTGTCCTTACTATACAGACTTCTTCTCTACAGTTTATTTTACAGAAGGAGCAAATAGCTATGGTGTCTTCTACCTGCTTCTTTTGGTGACTTTAACTTAGCATCCATCACTCCTCTCTGCTCTTCTACACTCAAACTCTCAATAATAAGTTTAATAACTTCCAGCATAGAATTGATTTTAAAAGTGGAGATGGCTTTAAAAGTAGTGTTATTTATAAAGTAATTTACAATGCTCAGTGGTATGGATGTATTTAATTTCTCTTTTTTTCAGGGGGTAAACCAATATCAGAAAGTCTTGATAGTGTTAGACTAGAATGTGTTCATACACCTCCTGAAAATCGTTTCAAATATGTTTGGAAACATATAAGGCCAGAGCAAGTGAGTAATGAATGTATGTAATTCGATGCTTTCTAGTGAGTGATAAAATTTGTTTCCCAGTGCTTAATGATTGCCATAAAACTTTTTAAAAAGGCAGTTAGCAAAAATGAAATAAAATCATACAACTTAAATTATTCAGATTTAAAATTTCTTATTATTTACATACTTACATATGTTTTAGGATCAGTTATTATCAGAACTTAAAAACATTCATTTTATATAAAGTATTTTATTTTAGAGGCAAGGTTTCCATTTGTATACATAGACATTGTATTAATGATCACAGTAGCTAACATTAATTGAGGGCTTATTAAGTGCCAGACATACATTGTATGCTTGTGTTTCTTTTAACCCACATAACAATCCTATGAGATAATTCCTAACATTATACCCATTTTACAGATAAAAAACTGAAATGCAGAGTAACTTGTTCTGGGTCACACAGGCAGGAAGTGGTAGGATTGATACTTGATGTCTGGATTTTCTGACTCTAAAATCCATGTGCATAATTAATTACTGTCCTAGACTGAGAGATAAGGACTCTTTTTGTTATAGGAAATAAGATTATTTCCTGATCTTAAGTTTAGGTGAAGAATGTTGATACTTTTTTTCTTTTAAAATAGCAACCCATCATACTTCCAAATGATTCAGCAGTCCTGGAAGTACACAGGCAAATTCACCCCTCAGCTTTCGAGTGTGATACCTTGGATAATAATGAAATAGTAGCTTCTGTTAGATTTACAGTCTATACATCAAATGGTAAGTGCCCAGCAATATTTTGGTTTGCTTATCTCAAACTTTAGAGACATCAAAATCACTTAGAGGGCTTCTTGAGGCACAGATGGCTAGCCCCACCCATGGAGTTTCCAATTTAGTAGATCTTAGGTAGGGTTAATACAAGAATTTACGATTGTATGCCCTTGCCGGTTTGGTCAGTGGTTAGAGCATTGCCCCTCAGACTAGAGTCCCAGGTTCGGTTCCGCTAAGGGCACATACCTCGGTTGCAGTTTGTCTCCGGCCCCTGGTGGGGTTGTGTGGGTGGCAATCACTTGATGTGTCCCTCTCACATGGATGCTTCTCTCTCTCTTCCTCCCTCTCTCCCTCCCCCTCTGTCTGAAGATGAATGCAAAAATGTCCTTGGGTGAGGATAAAAAAAAAAAGAAAAGAATTTACAATTGTAACAGGTTTCCAGGTGCTATTGGCAGACACCAGTTTAGAACCATTGGTTTATATCATGTAGACTTTTCTACAAGGTAGTACTTCATTTCTTTTTCACATGGTAGAGTCAGATGTGCCTCACTTTGGGAAACTGGTATATTCCTGAAATATCTCCAAAGAACAATCCTGTAACTTGGATTATATCCTTACTTTTACTTGTATAACAAAAGTGAAAATCTCATGGGTGCTTATAAAAATTTGGTACAATAAAATAAAATTAAGAAGCATTATGTCAAGGCATGTCTTTTAATAAATTACTCATTTGAAGAAAACATTTTTGATGAAACAATAATAGTCATCTATCGATATATGTCACAAAAGGCAAATTTTGTTTTGAACATAATTTCACATGTTAAAAACTGCTTCCCTTGTGAAATGGATCCATGTGCATGTCCTTTTAATTTAAGATATGTCTTCTACATCCAAATAATGACTTCCTTTGGTTCGGTTTGCTCTTAACCATTTTTATTGTTGTTGTCATCTGTTATGGGGGTGTGGATTTGGTTACAGGAATTTTTAGAATCCAATTAAGGCTCAGGAGGCTTTTACCAGAAAGATGCCCCCATATCTAATTATTCTAAAAGTTACCTGTAATTTTAAAGGGAGTTCATGGATTTCTTCAAGGTATTTATAATCCCAAATAAAGAATTATGCTGTAGTCTAGAGATACCATGCAACATAATACCCTTCATTGAAATGAAAACAAGCTAAACTGTTTTGGGGATTAAAAAAGTAATAAACTGGCCCTGGCCGGTTTGGCTCAGCGGTTGGAGCTTCGGCCTGTGGTACAGAGAGACCCGGGTTCGATTCCCGCTAAGGGCATGCACATGGGTTGCAGTTTGTCCCCTGCCCTGGTTGGTCGTGCGGGTGGCAGCCACTCGATGTGTCCCTTCACATCGATGTTTCTCTCTCTCTCTCTCTTCCTCTCTCTCCCTCCTGCTCTATCTGAACAAAAAAAAAAAATGGAAAAATGTCCTCGGGTGAGGATGAAAAAAAAAAAAAAAGTAATAAACTGTAATTTTCTTTAATATGTTGTATAGTGTCTTTAAAAAACATCTTTCTGATGAAAGCTAATAATCTTAATCCAGTTGTTATTAAAAGGATAATTTTAATAAAGTGCTGTGAAAGGTAAAAAAGGACCAAATATCATCAAACTAAAAAATATCTTGAGGAAGTTCCTGTGCTGTGGGACAGGAGCAGCTGGCTACCATGGTAAGCAGCCCTTCAGGGCGCTTCTGCCTGCCCCGCGGGGAGCTCCCACCATTTTGGAAGATCCTGGGTCTTCCCTGGCAGGAAGCAGTGGGAGCGGCTAGGGCCCAGCAACCTGAGCCGACCAGCACACCTGGCACCATCAGACCAGTGGACACTCTGTGTCAACACAGACTGGTGCACAGTAGTGGAGCTCCCAAGGTGCTGGTTGGAAGCTGCAGACAGCCAGGAGCCCAGCACCATCCCCCATAGTAGCAGCCTGATCAGAGTCAAGACATACCCGCAGCAACAGAGGCTGGGGAACAGACATCCATCCCCAGGCAACAGAAGCACAGACCAGCAGCTGAGACCCATCCCCAAAAACTACAGTGAAAGCTGAGCAGAAGTTGAGCCCCATGGGGCAGAAGCACTCCCCAGATCCCAGAAGCAGGACCTGGGGCTCCACAGAGGCCTGTGCAGTTCAGCAGTTCACAAGAGTGGTGGGAAGCCGGAGCCCAAGAGATACTGGTGCGATCTAGCTGCCCGCCCACGGAACCTGCAGGGTGCTGAAGCACCAGAGAGGCCTGTGCGACCCAGCAGGGACTGCTCCATCTAGATACTCATGGAGACTGTGGGGTGCTGAAGCACCAGAGAGGACTATGTGACCCAGCAGGGACTGTGCGATGTAGTTACTACCTGGCCTGTGGGGTACTGAAGCACCAGGGAGGCCTGTGCGACCCAACAGCCCATAACATATGCATAGAGCCAGGTCCCCAGAGGGATCCAGTTACCCGTGAGACCAAGATAGGCTTAGAGGATGTGAAAATGGAAGCTAAGTGAATAGAAGGTACGCAGAAGATCTCCCAGGAACAAACGGGAATTACAACTAAAATAAAGACAAATCCTCAGAAAAAAGCAATAGAAAAGGAGCAGGACAGGGCCATATAACCACGGACACTGGTAGGATCTGCGGAGGTGCGAGGGGTGGTGGGCTGGGAGCCCAGGGACAGCAGAAGTCTTAGCTGTGAGCAGTGCCCTTGGGGAATAAAGACCAAGCCCACTCCACAGCACAGAGAGCTGGGACAGAGCGCTAAAATAGACACAGCCACTCACCTGGGGGCTACGGCAGGGGGAGGGCAGACTGGGCTGGAAATCTGTGGGGACACCCGGGATTTGGAGGGCACTCAGAGTTTTTGCTGAGTTGTGGCCACAAAGGACAGTGGCCAGTGTGTTCCTTCCCTGAGCTGTGGGGAAAAGCAGCAGCACCCCTCCTCAGAGATTCAGCCTTTCCCAGTTGAAGCAAAGAAATGCAAATTGAGGCTCATTAACAACCAGCATCTATCCCACCCTCTGGAAATCCTCTAATGCAGAACACCAGGGCTACGTTCCAAGCCACTGAGTAACTGAGACTACTAGCCTCCAGGAAAAAGCTAGAGGATAACTGAACCTTTCCTGGGCTTGCAAATCTACCCAGGAAAGTAAGACTTGACAGTGCTGTTTAATGTGGGCCCACCCAGGCTCATCCAAACCCAGTAGAGGGAGCCACAAACAGCAGCACACCAACACCCACGTGGAAAGTTTGGCAGGCTCCAAAACCCACTGAGATAGCTAAAATGGTGAAACAAAACAAATCCCAAATGAAAGAACAAGAGAACTCTATTGAAGATGAGATCAATGAAATGCAGCTAAGCAAACTATCAGAGGTAGAGTTCAGAACTATGATCTTGAGGAAGCTCAACAGCATAAGTAAGGACATCAGCACCATTAAGTAAAGATATAGAAACATTAAAAACCAACCAAGTGGAAATGAAGAATGACATAGTAGAAAATAAGAACACATTGGAAAGACTAACCAGCAGAGTAGAGAAAGCTGAGGACCAGATCAGTGAATTAGAAGACAGGGTAGAAATAATCAACCAATCAGAAAACAAAAAGGAAAAAACAATTAAAAAATAGGAAGACAGCTTAAGAGAACTGTGGGACAACTGGAAACGTAATAATATTTGCATCATAGGAGTCCCCACAGAGGAAGAAAATGGGCAAGGGTTAGTGAATATATTTGAAGAAATAGTGACAGAAAACTTTCCTAACTTGGTGAAGGAAGAAGGCATTCAAGTTCAAGAAGCACAGAGAGCCCCAAGTAAGAAGAACCCAAATAGGCCCACACCAAGACACATAGTAATTAAAATGCCAAAAATTAAAGACAAAGAGAGAATCCTAAAGGCAGCAAGAGATAAGCAACAGGTTACCTACAAGGGAACCCCCATAAGGCTCTCAGCTGACTTCTCAACAGAAACACTACAGGCCAGAAGGGAATGGCATGAGGTAATCAAGATCATGAAAAACAAGGATCTGAATCCAAGACTACTCTATCCTGCAAGGCTATCATTCAAAATAGAAGGGCAAATAAAGAGCTTTCCAGACAAAAAAAAGGCTAAGGGAATATATTAACAACCAGCACTGCAAGATATGCTAAAAAGACTGCTGTAATTAGTAGAAGAAATAGCAAGAAAAATATACCCACACTAAACAAAAATGGCAATAAGTAAGTACATATCAATTATCACCTTAAATGTGAATGGTTTTAATGCTCTGATAAAAAGACACAGAGTAGCTGACTGTATAAGAAAGCATGACTCACACATATGTTGTTTACAAGAGACCCAACTCACAACAAGACTCACATAGGTTGAAAGTGAAGGGATGGAAAAAAAATCTTTCAAGCAAACAGAGAGGAATAAAAAACAAGGGTAGCAATACTCATATCTGATAAAAAAAAAAAAATTTCAAAATGAAGGACATAACTTGAGACAAAGAAGGCCACTACATAATATTAAAAGAATCTATCCAATGGGAAGATATAACCTTTGTAAACATATATGCACCCAATATAGGAGCACCAACATATATTAAAAATCTTTTGGAGGACTTCAAAAGAGAAATCAACAGCAATACAATCAAAGCAAGAGACTTTAACACCCCACTGACATCACTGGATAGATCTTCTAGACAACAATTTAACAAGGATACAAAGACTCTAAATAAAGCACTAGATCAAATGGATTTAATAGATATCTACAGAGAATTACACCCTCAAACTACAGAATTCACATTCTTCTTAAGTGCACATGGGACATTCTCAAAGATAGACCACATGTTAGGGCACAAACTAAGTCTCTACAAGTTCAAAAGGAGTGAAATCATATCAAGCATCTTCTTAGATCACAATGGCATGAAACTAGAAATCAATTGCAACAAGAACATGCAAAGACATTGGAACACATGGAGACTAAATAGCATGTTATTAAACAATAATGGGTTACCGAGGAGATCAAGGAAGAAATTAAAAACTT